GGCCCTCAATATCACTAAAACAGTCCATTGGACATAACTATAGTTCATTAGCCATTTAAATTAGGTCAGTTTTAGGCTGCAGTCCAAGCACAGTGGAAATCTCTAATCCTGCCCCAAACAAATTTGGCAATACAGATTAGTGTTCAACAGCTGCCCCAGCACCTGACATGGCATTCATGTGACAAATGTCCAGTGACAAGTTCTAAAGAGCAAACAGAATTGTTACAAAATTCTACGTGGCAATGCTTTTTGTGTCTTTAGATATTTGGACTGAAATTAGCGATGATGGAAGGTGACCCATTTACAGATGTGAAATTGGAAGTATTTTTTTTTTTAACCGTTGCACATGTATAGCAAGGCAACAGCAATGCAAACCTCCCCACCAACAAGAAGAAGGATAACCCATTGTTTCGGGAACTAGCCTTCCACATAAAAAACCCATGTTCAAATCCCTGCACTAGTGCAGACTTCCTGTGAGACTGAAGGAAGTTATTTAGGTTTCTCTTGGCCTTCATTAGCCACCTACAAAATAATGATAATAGCAAATCCCTGCTTTTTAGGAATCTGAGGATAAATGCATTAAAGAGTATGAGGGTTTCAGATACTATGGTAATGGGGGCCTTGTAAGTGCTTAGCTAGACAGATTACTACCGGGGTGGAGGGGAACCACCTTTTAAGATAGTCCAACCCTCCCATCTCCCAGGCTACCCATTCATTTCTTGGTTTCTCTGCTAAAATCACAAGAGTTGTAATAGTTGTTTCTGTGGTATTGACACCTGTCTTTTAGGAACTTGACTGAGACCATTAAGTCCTCTTCTAAATCATTTTGGGCTAACTGGGAGTATTGTTTACCTTTGAAATACTTAGCTATCCCAACACCCAATGGCATGGTTTGTGGTGATTTTTCTTAGTAATATCTTACTTCTTACCTCATAGGTCTGTGTATTTTTCATCTCAAACCTTGAAAAACTTAACTGTAAAAAGTTGAGAAATGTGTTCAAATCACTATAATCTTTTCTGAAGTGATTCTTCAGTACCACCTGAGGAACAGGAAATAACCGAGGTCAATGGGCCATTTAGATTCACCACAGAGCTGATTTGTAGACATCATTTCTGTTTGCTTCATCCACTTTTAGATGTGGATTCATTCACATGCTGCAGCATTTTCTTTTTATTCCTTTGTTTCAAATTATAAGCAAAACAATGAAAGCAGTAAACAATTAAAACCCAAAATAGACTAAATTAACATGTTACACCCCAACACTGGAAGACCTCAGACTGTGAAAAAGACAATGAGGGTGAGATAATACCTTTTATTGGACCAACTTCTGATAATGAGAGAGACAAGCTTTTGAGCTTACACAGAGCTCTTCTTCAAAGTCTGGGAAACTAATTCAAAGTGTCACAGATAAATACAAGATAGAACAGATTGTTCAGCATAAATAGTTAAAACACATTTCAAGGAACCATTCAAGGTGAAGTGGCCCATTAACCCCTCCAACTAGAGGAAGGAGGGATGGGAAAGAGCCCTTTTTAAATACTGGCATCACATTAGCTATCTTCCAGTCATTAGGTACAGAAGCTGATTTAAAGGTAGGTTTCAAACCACAGTTAATAGTTCTGCAATTTCACATTTGAGTTCTTTTAGAACTCTCGGGTGAATGCCATCTGGTCCTGGTGACTTGTTACTGTTAAGTTTATCAATTTGTTCAAAATCTCCTCTAATGACACCTCAATCTGTGACAATACTTCAGATTTGTCACCTATAAAGAATGACTCAGGTCTGGAAATCTCCCTAACATCCTCTGCCAAGAAGACTGAAGCAAATAATTCATTTAGTTTCTCCGCAATTACCTTATTGTCTTTGAGTCTCCTTTAGCATCTTGCTCATCCAGAGGCCCCACTGATTGGTTAGCAGGATTCCTGCTTCTGATATACTTAAAAACATTTTGCTATTACTTTTTTATTTTTTTGGCTAGCTGTTCTTCAAACTCCTGTTTGGCTTACATTATAATATCTTTACAATTATTTTGACAGAGTCTATGCTCCTTTCTATATTCCTCATTAGGATTTAACTTCCACTTTTTAAATGATGCCTTTTTATCTGTAACTACTTTTTACTTGGTTGTTAAGCCACAGTGGCAGTTTTTGGGTTCTCTTACTGTGTTTTTTAATTTGAGATATATATTTAAGTTGGGCCTTTATAATGCTGTCTTTGAAAAGTCTCCATGCAGCTTTCAGGGATTTTACTTTTGGCACTGTACCTTTTAATTTCTGTTTAACTAACCGCCTCATTTTTGTGTAGCTCCCCTTTCTGAAATTAAATGCCACAGTGTTGGGCTACTGAAGTGTTTTTCCCATCTCAGGGATGTTAAATTTTATTTTATTATGGTCACTATTTCCAGGCGGTCCAGTTATATTTATATCTTGAACCAAGTCCTATGTTCCATTGAGGACTAAATCAAGAATCACTTCTCCTCTTGTGGGTTCCAGAACCAGCTGCTCCAAGAAGCAGTCATTTAAGGTATCAAGAAACTTTATTTCTGCATCCCATCCTGAGTACACCCTGACGTGTAACCAGTCAATATGGGGATAGTTGAAATCCTCCACTATTACTGAGCTTTTTATTTGTATAGCCTCTCTAATCTTCCTTAGCATTTCACAGTCACCATCACTATCCTGGTCAGATGGTTGATAATATATTCGTACTGCTATATTCTTATTATTAGAGTATGAAATTACTACTCATAGAGATTCTATGGAACATTTTGGTTCATTTAAGATTTTTACACTTCATTTGATTCTACATTTTCTTTCATGTATAGTGCCACTCCCCCACCAACATGACCTGTTCTGTCATCCTGATACATTTTGTACTCTGTTATGACTGTCCCATTGATTGTCCTTATTCCACCTAGTTTCTGTGATGCTTATTATATCAATATCCTCCTTAAATACAAGGCACTCTAGTTCACCCATCTTATTTTTTAGACTTCTAGCAAAATGTTGAGTATAAACATTTTAAAAATTTGTTCCTGTTTAGCTGTCTGCCATTTCCTGATGTGTTTAAATGGCACTCTTTTTCATTTGATTGTTTCTCATCTGTTAAACATCACATGTTAAACATTACATTTAGCCAGTTAACCACTTAACCTGACTCCAATGGGTGGCGAGGGTCTGGCTGGCCTTAAACCCCCCCCCCCCCCCACCCACACACACCTGCACCATGGTGGAGGGCTGCTGCAGCCTGTTCAGGCTTGCTGTGCTGCAGGCTGCTCCAGTCAGGCTGAAACGAGCCTGCCACAGGTAGGGGCTGCTTGGGCCAGGCTGGTCCCTTCAAGCTGCAGGCCCCTGCTCCATGCTATGGGCTGGGAGGTGTTTCAGCCCAGCCAAAGCCATCACACCACGGCTGCTCCATACCACAGGCTGGGGGCTGCTCTGGCTGGGCAGGGCTCACTCTTCTATGCTGCATGGCATGGCAGGCCTAGCTAGACTGGAGAGCCCCCACCCTCTGGGGTGCAGCACAGAGGGCCCAGCTGGGCTGGAGTGCCCCTTGCCCATGGCATAGTGGGCTCGGCTGAGCTAGAGTAGCTGCCTGCCCACAGCGGGTGGGGGGCTGCTCCAGCCCAGCCATACTGCCAGTTAACTGGTTAAATGGTTAGCCAGTTACATCCCTAATCCTTACATTGACTACTTCATGGAAAAAGTAACTGTGAAATTCCTAAACACCCCATCCACCACAATCTCCCCACCACCAAGAAGCTGTTCAGTCCTGGAAATCTATTCACCAAGTAGTGATCAAACCGGCTTCATTGTACTCCTCAACCATGACTGTGTTAACAAGCCAAACCAACAATTCTCAGACACCACCTACCATGAAGAATTCAAAGACCCGCACTTTACAATCTACCCAGGAATTTAAGGATGTCATTAAATCATTCCGCAAACAAGTTCAGCAGAAACTCTACAATTTCATTTCCTGTAAATGCAACCCAGCAACCTTCTACATGCATTGCAAGATACATAAGCAAAGGAACGCAGGCAGACCCATGGTGTCTAGCCATGGCACTAAAGAAATATAAACTACCCTCAAACCACACAAAGAGCAAGCCTCCTCCAGGGCACAACTCATTTCCTTCACAAACCCCACAACATTAACAACCCCTGTGAACATCATCTTTACAACTGTGGATTTCACCTCCCTGTACACTAAGGGTATGTCTACACTACAGCGTTATTTCAAAATATCTAATTTCAAAATAGTTATTTCGAAATAACTTATTTCAAAATAACGCATCTACACACAAAATGCATTTTGAAATAGCTTTTTGCTATTTTGAAATAGCACGTCCACACTGATTGGACGCTGAATCGCATTTAAGGCCAGCCAGAACTGGTTCCGGCAGGGCATCAAATCAGAAGTTACCTTGTGGCCAGGGCGGCCAGCAGGGCACCCTGGGAAGGGCTGAAGGCCCCCTATTTTGAAATAAGCGTCTACACAGCGCTTATTTCAAAATAGCAATTTCAAAATTGGGGCTATTCCTCGTAGAATGAGGTTTATCAATTTCAAACTAAGCCCTCCGCTATTTCGAATTAATTTCAAAATAGTAGTTGGCTTGTGTAGATGCTAGGAAAGTTATTTGAAATAATGGCTGTTATTTAAAAATAACTTTGCTGTGTAGACAAACCCTAACATGCCTCACAATGCATCTGACAAAGTGGTTTTTACCTACAAAAGCTTACGTTCAAATCTGTTAATTTTAAGTTGCCACAGGACTCCTCATAGTTTTGCAGATTGAGGGTGTGTCTAGACTACAGGGTTTTGTCGACAAAAGAGGATTTTTGTCGACAAAACTATACCTGCGTCTACACTACCGCTAAGTTCTGTCGACATAACGTCGACAGAACTCAGCAGTTTTGTCGATGCTGGTAAACCTCATTTTACAAGGCATAACGACTTTTGTTGACAGAGTTCTGTAGACAGAAGGTGTTATTGCATCTAGGGTTGTGTCTAGACTACAGGGTTTTGTCGACAAAGCAGCTTGCTTTGTCGACAGAACTGAATGTAGTCTAGACGCTCTTTGTCAAAACTTCTGTCGACAAAAGCCTGTAGTCTAGACGTACCCATAGATTAACACAGCTACCCCTCTGAGATGAAGAAAACTGTAATCTACAGCAAAACATTCACCTACAATTACAAACTTAGAGCAGCCCAGCTCTACTGACACATCTGGACTGCTGTAAAAGCAGTTGTGTGGCTGTGATATGCCGATGAGAGAGAGAGAGAGCTCTCCCATCACTATAAGAAAATCAGCTCACTAAGTGGACACAAGCACTTATGCTGGCAAAACTTATGTCACTCAGGCGGGTGGTTTTTTTCACATCCAGGAGCAACAAAAGTTTTGCCAAAATAAGTGTTATTGCTTCAGATACCGCAGAATATGCTCAGAGAAGAGCATCCCTAATTATATACACCTTAATACACTCAAAACCAGCTCTGGGTATGGATTTTTCACATAGCTGAGCAATGTAGTTATACGGATGTTGGTTTGTCATGTAGACCTGCCCTGAAAAAATTTCCCAATTCAAAAGAAGAGCTCTGTGTAAGCTTGGCATTTTGTCTTTCTCACCTTCAGAAACTGATCCAATAAAAGATATTACCTCACCTGCCTTGTCTCTCTGATACCCCGGAACCAGCACAGCTATAACAACACTCAATCAGACTGGAAACAGACAGCCTGTCAGTGAGCGACAGCTATATCAGTGGGGCTACGTAGGCTGTGTCCACACAGTTTAGGATCACAGGAACTGCAAAACTGAATCAGCTCTGTAGTTCATCTAGTCCAGCATCCTATCTCCAAGAATGGTGAGCAGCAGGTGCTTCAGAGGAACCCTGCAGCAGGCATATGTGAGATAATCTGCCCTCCATATTAAGTCTCATCCTGGTCTCTATGGGCAAATTGCGCAGCTTATTTCAAGTGTATTTCAAAATAGCTTATTTTGAAATTTGGTGCTGTCTACACAGTGCCAAATTTCAAAATAGAGCATTATTCTGAAATGTCCCTTAATCCTCGTGGAACGAGGTTTATAGGGACTTTGGAATAGCAAGCCCATTATTTTGAAATAGCTTTTGAAATAACAGGCTTGTTTAAAAGATGCGGAATAGCTATTTCAGGATACCAGAAGTATCCCAAAATAGTGCCGCAGTGTAGACATACCCTAACAGTCAGAGACTGACTTGATGCCTCAAGCATGAGGATTAAAATCTCTTCCCAAATTTTGTTTCCAACAGCTATTATAACTCTGGATTTTCTAGATAAATGTCTAGGTGCTTTTGGAATCTTATTAAATTCTTGGCTCCATTGACTTCCTGTGGCAATGAGTTCCAGAGTCTAATTATGCATGATTGAGAAAAGTGTTACATTAATTTTGAATTTGCCACCTTTCATTGTCACCAGATGACTCATAATTCAAGAATGAGGGAACATAGAGAACAGAAGCTCTCGATCTACCTTCTCTTTACCTAGATTAACCCAGGGCAGATATACACACAGGGTTTGACAGCCATCTGATATGTTTGCAGTGGTCTTCATCTTAGGGAAGAAGTGGACAGTACACCAAAGATAAATGGCATCACATTATTTAACTTTGTTCATTGAGAAATTCTTAGCCACTAGAAATCAATATTTTTCGTTTCGGCTCTTGGGACTAGGCAGCCATAAACACATGTTTAGTAATAGCAGTAAGGATTATGACTCCAAAAAAGTGGAGTATTAGAATCTTGAATGATTAAATAGACAGAAGGTCCAAGATACAGATCTAAAACGTATCAGTTCATCTGTCCCACAGACAAAGCCCTACATCACCCCCAGTATCAGGATAGAAATATGTGCCTAACAGCATGAAAACCTCATTAAATGTTAACACTGGTCTCACATACCTTGGCTTCAGAAGCAATTGCCTGCAGAAAAAGTTTTCTACTCTGTTCTTCTGTCCCATCTATAAATTCCTTCACCTTAGTGTCAGTTTCAGCACTAGCGCTGTAGATGTAGGTAAGCTTATACCAAGCAGCTCTATCAAATAAAAACAAAACACAAAACAAAAAGTCACACAGGGCCATACTTTCAGGTCATGGTCTTTTTTAAGATCTGATCCTGCTCCCATTAAAGTAAATGGGATTTTTTTAAATAGCTGAAGATTGTTCCCGTCTTAATGACATCACTGGCTGATGTGCATATATTTTGTGTGCTCTCATTAATGTGTGCAACTTTACACAAATGCCACTTGTACATGCAACTCAAACTTTAAATGGGATTTGCAAGTGCAAATCTGCCATTTTCCCAAATGAGAGGACACAAAAAATAGCACACAAACAGAGTGCATGTTTAAGAAGCTTGCAGATAAATGGAGACTGGATATTTCAAATGCAAATTGAATGGTGCTATACATTCAAAAGACCGCCAAAGTTTACAATCAAAAAATATAAACATGCACAATCAGAGCATTCTTCAGGTCTACATAACCATGCAAGTCCTAGGTTAATGGGGGTCACAAATCAGAAATTATCATTTTTATTTTCTACTCAGTGGCGCCAACATAAATCTTCAGTTTAGGATTCACACTGTTTGCAACATATCATGGGATCCTTGGCATCATTGTTAGCGACATATCTTAGCACATATATTATAAATGAAAAAATTACTTGCACATAATGACCAATTCAAAAATTAAAGTAAACACTATGACTACTTTTGGGGCTAGAGTTTTTTGGCTGGTTCCAGCTCTTCCTCAGGTAATCTTATAAAGAAAAACCACTAGAGAGGTTTTCACCACTGGCACAAGCACTACTGAAGTGAGCATTTTGGTGCCTAGAACCTCCTCTCTCCTTTTATTCTTTGTTGCTTCCTGTTCCTTTTAGAAAAGAAAAAGGTCAAATGTAGGGTGTTCATGCAGGGTGGTTTGATCCGGCAAAGCACTTAAGCTCTTGCTTAACTTTAGGCACTCAAGTAGTCTCATTGACTTCAGCTAGAGCTAGATGAGGCCCATAAAGCAGAAAATACACTTCACCTCACATGTATCTGATGAAGTGGGTCTTTGCCCATGGAAGCTTATGCTCCAATATATCTGTTAGTTTATAAGGTGCCACAGGACTTCTCGTGTTCTTGCAGATTCAGACTAACATGGCTACCCCCTGATACATTTTACCTCACATGCCACCCTGGTCTGTTTTCTCACCTGAAAATGCAGCAGTTCTCAAGTATTTGCAAATTGCTGCACATCACAGAAAAAGTGTCAACTTGGAGAAGGCTTCTTGTTTCATTTTTATAACTAGGTAAAACAAAGTGATAAAGACACGTTTAAATAGAACAGTCCATAACACTTCTGACATTACAGAATCAGCTACCTTGGCAGTAAACAGACCAAAGATTCCATTATTACTTTGAGTCTTCCCATGCATAGTTTTACTCTTTTAGGTGCTTTATATAATAAGAAAAACATATAATCCCTGCCCTAAATAGCTTAGGAGGGGTAGGGAAGTAGTACTGTAATAAGACTGGGCGTATACTCATCTTAAGTATGTGTCATCAAAATAGTTCTGGGGATTTTGTGTGTTTATTTTTTAAAACACTTGCTCTTTGTAAGTGACAAAGCAAAAAGGATGGAGCATTTCCAGAAGCCACAATGTGCATGAGTAATCAGTAAAATCTGGTGACTGCCTTGAGCGCTCAAAGGCCTCAGATACATGGGTCTCATTCTTGCACTTAATTCCTTCCCTCTGCTAATTTAAAGGGACTCTGAACTTTAAAAGAAACAAAATCACAGCCCTCTGAAAATATTTTGCCTGCAAGTAGATTCAAGTACTAGCGCCCAGCCCTGCTCCTTCTGCCCAAGCTTCACACTTGGCAATTCTGTCCGCAGCCCTCCCTGACACCCATTCCCAACTTCTGACACACAGATGCTATGGATGCCTGCCCTATTTTTTAAAATATTAACATTTGTTATAAATAGGGTGACCACATGTCCTGTTTTTAAAGGGACAGCCCCATATTTAACACCTCCCCCCCCCAGGTGTCTTGACTTTTTCTTTAAAAAGGGCCAATTGTCCCATATTTTCTATCTCCCACCCCTCCATTAGTACTGGTTAGTCCCACTGCAGCCCCTGCTGTGTGCCAGCTCTTGGCCACCAGGACCCAAGCCTCCCCCATCCCTATCCAGTTTCTGGTTGGCACAGCCGTGAGCTGCAATGAACTATGTGTCTCCTCTGCTACTAGCCCTTTATGTTCTCCTTCTCTTGCTGTCCTCTCCTGCACAGTACCAATGTACTAGAGGTGTGCAGGGGTGTGAGTGTATGTAACCCCTCCCCATGTGTGTGTGGGAAGGTGGGTGGATGTGTCACCCCTCCCTTTGTGGACTGTAAAGCCTTTAAAGAGAAGGTAAGTAGAAATAATCCAACTACACATTACTTCTTTTTAACAAAGTCTCCATCAACTTGATGTTAGTTTGAATGTTTGTACGATAGATTGCTGTTGAAGTCATTTGAATGCAAGTAATTTTACCAGGTGTCCTGTATTCAGTATTGGGTGTTGGCACTCTGTTCACCCTCCAGTTTGAAATGGGGAGCCAAGCAGAACACCAAGTTATAAATGTTATAAATGTATTGTTTGATAAATGTGTAATCAGAAGCGTCACACCATTTAATAAAAATTACCATAACGAATGCACCCTAAGTAAAGAGACTTGCTGTGCAGTATGGTGAGAGCCTGTTAAATAGAGAGACATGATTATTATATTAATGTAGAATGTGTTTTTTTTTAAAGCTCACTGTTGCACTGATTATTGTATTGTTACATGGCAAGAATTTGTAGATCTGTAAAAAAGAAAAAGAAAGAAAGCTCTTTCTTTCAAGTGTGAAAGGGATAAGAGAAGTTAGTGTCCTCTGCTTTTAGTAACTAAGGGTCTGTCTGCGCTGCACCCTTACCTCGAAATAAGCTATGCAGTTTGCGCTACACAAATTGTGTAGCTTATTTCAATCTAATGCCAAATAGTTTGTTTTGAAATTTGGCACAGTCTGCACAGCATCCCATTTCAAAATAAACTGTTATTCCAAAATATCCCTTAATCCTCATGGAATGAAGGTTACAGGGACACAGGAATAGTGCGCCCGTTATTTCAAAATCTATTTTGAAATAATGGGTGTGCTGAAAAGACGCAGACTAGCTATTTCGGGATACTTCTAGTATCCCAAAATAGCACCGCAGTCTAGATGTAGCCTAAGAGTGGCAGTGAGGAAAGAGAGTTAAAAAAAATAATCTTACTGGTAATTTAGTGAGAGCCTTATTCTGTGTCTGATCCCAAATCCATTCAACTCAATAAGAGTCTTTCCATTGACTTCAGAGGTCATGGGGCAGGACCTTCAGACCCCCAAATGTGCCAGCATGTCTGATCTGGGCACTAATAGGTGTGAAATATCCTGTTCTATCCTTTTCTAGAATAAATGTTGATCCAAGTACTTAAGTAAACCTAAAAAGACCAGGGGAATAAAAACTCCAAAAAAGGGAATGAAACTTGAGTCTGGCATGAAATATTTAATATTCAGCTCTCAAAGGCCTGGTCAACACTAGAACAAGCAGGTCAGCTTAAAGTACCCCATCCAGCTACTCGAAATGTGTAGCTGGATTCGGCTTACCAGAAGCCGAGCCACCACAACGTCTACACTGCAGGAGACCTCCGGGAACACACGTTCCTATCGGCTTCCCTTACTTCTTGCAGAATGAGGAGTAAAAGAAGCTGGCGGGTGGTGTCTTGAGCATTCGATTTGGGGGTCTACACTAGACCCACCAAATTGAACACTAGAAAAATCGACCTCCAGAGGGTCGATCTCCTCCATAGTGTAGATGTACCCAAAGAGAGCAGCCCCTGTTTTAGCAGCTTGATCAGAACTTGCTGTAAAATGGGGAAACAAAAGGTTCAGACATACAAAAAGTCACCAATAAGTCTTCCAGCATTTCTTCTTTCTTTTACTTACTAAAAGTCAATTCAGAAACAGACGGGCTTCTTACCTACACAGAAACTGCAGAAGTTCTTCCAAACATCCTGCTTCCACCTTGTCTCTTATGGTGTCACTGATATGCTGGACTGCCTCTGACCTCCCTGTTAACACCTGCCAATTTAAGTAGTGAGAGAAAATTCCAAAGTTATTCACATTTTTTTTAGGTGCACGTGATTTCTCCCATCTCTTTCGCCTTTGAAAGTCCCTTCATCTTCTTAGGGAATGATTTAGTTCCTACTTTTAAAAATCCTCAGGTGAATAAAAATCCTGTCTGCTTGGATCAAGAGATGGATACCCAGACACCAAGGCTATGTCTAGACTGCAGGCTTCTTTCGAAAGAGGCTCTTTCGAAAGCATCTTTCGAAAGAGCCTCTTTCGAAAGATCGCGTCTAGACTGCACGGAGAAATTTCGAAAAAGCGGCTTGCTTTTTCGAAAGAGAGCACCCAGCGAGTCTGGATGCTCTCTTTCGAAGACGGCCTCTTTACATTGAAGAACGTCTTCTTTCGAAAGAGGAGCTTTCGAAAGAAGGCTTTCTTCCTCGTGAAATGAGGTTTACCGCCATCGAAAGAAAAGTCGCGTTCTTTCGAAATAATTTCGAAAGAACGCGGCTTGAGTCTGGACGCAGGGGAAGTTTTTTCGGGAAAAGGCTACTTTTCCCGAAAAAACCCCTGAGTGTGGACACGGCCCTAGGGAGTAGTATTTTACTCCACAAATGCCACAGCTGAAGTGAGCAGGACCTGTGCAGTAAGGAACCGCTCAGTGCAAACAAGAGTGGCAGAATCCTGCCCCATGTTTGGGTGTTACTACTAATACTGAGCCACAGGGCCCAATTCACCAATGTTTGGCAGTTGTGAAAATATCTTCATTTCTGTAGGGACTGCCAGCAATTTTAGCATGACTTTGTACTTGAATAGATATGACTATATAGAGAAATGCTACCTTTGACCATAGAAAGGTGCCTATGTAAAAACTTATGCAGCCAGCCAGTATTCCTGCAGTGAAATGCCTATTTCAACAGACAGGCAGGATCTGTCTCATGTCATAAGATAATAGAGTCCTGGCAAGCTGCTCATGCTACTTCCCCCTGACGCCACCTTATAGTTTCAGTGGTGGGCCAAGCTGGGCACTTAGTTTCTTCCGGCCAGAAGGATGAAAATTAGTCTCTGGATTGACATGAACAGGTGGTAACTTAACACTACTAACTGCTCTGTGGAAATGGAGCCTTGCTGTAGAAAGGGACCAGATGGAAAAAAGGAGAGACACAGAATAATATCCTGTGCTCTGCCAGCGAGCTGACTAGTGTCAGAGAAATAGATGATGACTCACATAGTGAGTGGGAGTTTCCATGCACTCGCCACAATAAACATATCAGTTCAGCAAAAAAGGAGGAAGGAAACACATTCCCCTAATCTGAGCACAAGACACATACTGTGAAAATATTGATGGTCAGTTCATCTTTAGACATAAAGAAAATGAAATTGCAGGAGTAATATTTTCATGATCTTACATAACGTGCAATATATGCATGATCGTCAGCATCATATTTATATACCTACGTGCCCCAAGAAGGGATCAGGTCCCTGTTATGCTAGGCACTATACAAACACAGAACAAAAAGAAGCTGAGTACCATTTGCAGGCTCTCACATTTATACAGCACTTTTCATTACAAAAGAAATCCCAAAGCCCTCTCCAAACAGCACCAACTATATGCATCGTGGAAATGCAGCCTGATCTGTCAGTTGTTAATCAGTGTACAGTAACACTGTGTACCAGTGTAGGACAGAAAGTAAAGAATGCCTTACTCAATTGATATGTGCAGAATGGTCGCTTGGAATCACAGTCCACCTGAGTCTGGAACTTGACCAGGACATCAAGTTGCAAAGCAGTGTCTCTTGGAAGAAGTGGCACACCGCATTCAAAAGGTAGTCTTAGGACGACTCCACAGTTAAATTTTGCTGGCTTTGGTACTTCATTTCGGAGTATGAAAAAAAAATAGTCATGTCTATGGCTGACATGGTAATGCTGGCAAAGGCCTTAGTGACTGTAGATGCAGTGCTTCTGGCAAAAAAGTGCTTTTACTAAAAGGGCTTATTTTGTCTGGGTAACTGGTATAAAATATACTAAAAGAAAACTATTTGGCCAGCATAAACTATGTCTCCATTAGGAGATTTTGCCAGTCTACTTGTAGACCTACTCTGGCAAACCTTTTCTAATGTAGACAAAGCTTTAATGCTGGCTGCATAAGTATTAAACATGAGAGCTAGCTAGTCTAATATACCTATGTGCTACGTTAAAGACAACAGTTTCCACTTTGCCTTAACCAGGCCAGTGCAGTCATTTGTGGCTACACTAGCCTGGATGATTCAATACCAATACTTTCACATCTGATCACATTTCCAGGAATAATTTGTGCCTGAAGAGAAATTGAGGTACCATCAGATCCAAACTCTAAGGCAATGATACTCAATAAGATCTTGCCAACATGAGAATTTTGTGACAAGAAGCAGGCCATTGGTGAAAAAGACTGACAAAGGAAAAAAAATAGGCTGCTAACAAATAAAGACCTTGATTGTAACATAAATACCAGCATTTCTATCTTTTAACAAAATTTATAAATCAGTATTATCCCCTGCAGTGCTTGCTTTGTAATGAAAGAGATGCTGCAGCACACATGAATCACTTGTTAGGCAGCCAGATAATGGCACCTGGTGGCTAGGCACCCAGCTCAGAAGGATCCTCAACTTGGCCTCTGTATGTGCCCATGCAAATTTCCTGTAACTGCTATTTTTTGCAAACTTTCAGCTGCTCATTCCTGGGTTGGTTTGAGATTATTTTTTTTCTTTAGAAATCCATGTTGACCATTACTTATCACCAGGGCTCGCCAAGAGGCAGCGAGCCCTGCTCGCCAGCTGTGCGGTTCGGCACACTGCACATGCACAGACTGTGCTGCGCAGCTGTGCCAGCTTGTAGTCTACTTGCCACAGGCGAGTAGATTACACTGTCGAGCTCTGCTTATCACCGTATTATCTTCTAGGTATTTGTAAATTGATTGTTTGCTCAACTATCTTTCCCGGTACAGAAGTTATGGTGGCTCTTCTGTAATTGCCAAGTTTTTCCTTATTCCCCTTTATAGATTGGCACTAGATTTCCCCTTTTCCAGTCCTCTGGAATTCTGCTATCTTCCATGACTTTTCAAAGATAATGGCTCAGATATCTCCTCGGTCAGCTCCTTGAGTATTTTAGGACATATTTCCTCAGGCCCTGTTAACTTGAAGATACCTTATCGGTCTAAGTAATTATAAACTTGTTCTGTCCCTATTTTAGCTTCAGATTCCTCATTTTCACTGGTATTCACTTTGTTAGATGTCCTATCTCTACTAATCTTCTTGGTGAAAACTGAAACTGAAAGGGCCTTTTAGCATTTCTGCCATTTCCACATTTTCTTTTACTGTCTTTCCCCCCTTGTACAGCAATGGTCCTCTCCTGTCCTTGGTCATGTTTGGAAAATCTGGATCCCTGCCTCTCTAGACCATCATTATACACACACTCAAGTTTCCTGCAAACATGCATGCAGCACGTAGAGCATAAGCCCACCCACAATGAAATCAGTGGCAAAACGTCAGTGGGAGCAGGGTCGGGCTATTGCTGAGGCACTAGAGAAACACGGGACAGTTCATAATTCTTCTTTTACACAAAAGAGGGGAAAATCTGCTGCCAGTAACACAGCTATGGCTGAAGTTGGTTGCAGGGGCAGATGACCATTTTGCGGGGCCCAGGGCAGCCCAATTTTGCGGGGCCCCCCTTTGCCACGGCGCATGCTCAGGGCTTCTTGAAGCGCGGGGCCCAGGGCAGCCACCCCGATTGCCCTGCCCTATATCTGCCCCTCGTTGGTCGGATTGCAGGTGTGTAACAGGGCAGACCTGAGCCTCGTTCTGTACAATTATAGTACATGCTGAGAAGCTTGTGTCGATAAGGAACATCAGCAGTGGCTTACCTGAATGATTGTAGTGTCTGTGTAAGGTTTTCTCCCTGCGTTAACGACTTCTCTGAGTGCTTCTCTTACTTCCTTCTGAAAGTAACAAAGTTAAAATACAAACCTTTACAATGCAACCCAATTTGTAATCTGTTAGGTTTCCCTGTCTCACCCTGCACCTCTGTCTAATGCTGACAGGCAGAATCGAACCTGGGATCTCTGAAGTAGGGATGTAAAGGGTTAACAGGTTACCCAGTAAGCACCACTCTTTCTGGAGAATGCTTAGCAGAGAATTGGTTAACAGGTGGCCTGGCCAGACTGGAGCAGCCCTGCCAGGCCAGGCCCACCATGCCACACCATGGGTGGGTGGCACGCCAACCTGGCTGGGCCAGCATTTTCAAATCAGCTGTTTGTGACTGTTAAGGGGCTGGGAAGGAGGGGGATGAGGGAGACAGAGCACCAGTCAGCAGATTCATGGTGCTCTGAAAGTGCTAGGAAGGAGGGGGAGTAGGAGGAAGTGCAGGGCTCCAGTTCCCCAGTGTACGAGAGGTATAAGGGGAAGAGGACAGGCAGGGAGTGGGTGGGCCATATGTGGAACCCCAGTGGGCCACAGGCTGCAAGTTGCCCACCACTGGCAACAATCATGCAGCCCACTGAGACAAAGGAGGGCCATTCATACAGCCCACTCACTAGCCTTGGTTGCCTAGCGCTGCTCAATGGTATTTCCTGAAGTGGTTCGGCACATTGTAGTGGTCCCTGCCCCGGACCCCCACTAGCCGGCTTGCAGTGGATGTTGCTTGAGAGAGGCTGGACAAAACAGAAAGTGATGATGTTATAGTGCATGGTGTGCTCTCCTGGCAGCCAGTGCTAGGGAAAGTTGGCTGAGGACCTACTATGCTGAGGTTTTAGCTGCATTTAAAACCATTGCAACGTGGTCTCAGCCCCTTCATTTGGCTGCAACGTATACCCTGTCCAAAGCTCTTCTCTTTCCTTTGGAGCCCACATTCCAACCCTGCTATGGGGCTTTCAATTAGAAAAAAAAATACTGTCCTGGAAGCCTTGGGAGCTGAGTCATTTGCTGAGTGTAAGGCCCTCTTCCCACTCAAACTCACTAAGGGCATTTCTACGCTGCAATGTAAGCCCAGGGATAGTGGCACTTGGCCAGCTGACCCATGCTAGGGAACCCTGGGCATTTATACTATATTTTAATCCCTTGTTATGACTTTCCTAACCCACTTTCAACTCTAGTCCTCTGGCATCAACTCTGCAGTTCACAGACCCAAGTCAAAGGAACCATATCCCAATCTCCAAAATGTGACCACTATCACTGGGACCAGTGTGCCCTGCAGGAAAACTTTATTGCTTGCCCTGCATATTACCAGGAAGCAGCTCTCTTTGCAAAAGGCTTGAGCAATTTGCTCTCCATTGCAAACCCAGGAGACTCTCTGATATTGGGCTTGCAGATTGGTGACTGGAAGAGAAAGGGTTAATGCGTCCTGAGCTGCTGCTATTTGCAAACTGGGGGAAGGGAGGAGGGAGCCTTCAGTTTTCAGTAGCGTGGATTGCAGATTGCCGAGACAGGACTAAAGAAGTGGTCCCACGGAACTGTGGAATACCTCCAGCTGACAGCTGGGACTTGAGTCAAGCAGGGTTGTGTCTACATTGTAAAACAATAGGATTTAGCTACTGAGTCTTGGGTTAACTTGAGCTCAGGCCAGCAGGGTAGATGAGTACATCGAGTCTGCCAATGACTCCAGCGCACCCTGGGTCTGAGCCTTGGGCTAGTGCAATCACAGTATAGACGCAAGTGAGATTAGGCCTGAGCCCATGCTCAAGCACAGGCTAATGTTTCAGTGTAGACATACCCTTAAAGGTCACTAGCTGAGTGACTCGGTATACTGTGCTAAGGAAACCGTGTGTATGCCATCCCCACAAAGGTTAGCATGGCAGGCCACATTGGGGGCAGGCTGGGAGGGACTATAGCTCCATATTACACAGATCCAGAGGCCTAGCGCCCTACATGACTGGTGCCAAGAATCTGTGACTCTCAGTCCAAACTATAGGCTCATTAGCATCCCCAGAGAAAAGAGTTCTGTAGTCCCATGACACAGCCCTGGGTTAGTTGAAGGAGAGGGGAGATTTCACTTTCATAGCCTCTTTGTATTCCACCTAAATATAGCCCAAATGTGTGTGTGTGTGGTGTCTCCCCCCACAGAGCATGTACAGTAAAAGCATGAAAAGAGACAACACAAGGCTCCCAGCAGCCCCTTCTCAAAAGGGGCATCACCTATCAGTAGGGTTACCAGGTAGGTTTGGAAAAAATACCAGACACACTTGATTGGGACGGGGGGCGGGGCTGGCTGAGCGGGGGGGCGGGGGCACAGCGTGGCTGGCCGCGGGAG